ATTTTTCATCAGCATTGGTGGATGATGGTTCATTATCAAAAATGCCGCCTTTACTCCCAGGGATATTTCCTTTAACTCATTTTAGTCTGGGTCAACCTAAAGGTTTTAGTCAATTTTTTTGTTAAACCTTGATAAGAATTGGAACCTTTGACCATCAGCCTGGTGAGTAAGCGTACCAGCCACTCTGCTACTGCAGCTTTCTGAAAGGATAAATTCTTCCACCATCATTCTGGTTTTATCACAGCTCATTGACTTATTCTTAGGAAATGTATTTGGTGGTTCCCTTAACTTCCACAGTGGAGGGATTGTTATAATGGATGTATCACTATTGCTAATCTCATTTTGTACCATTTTAGATAACTCCACCATAGCTGAAAGTCTCTATTCATGCCCATGTTAATCAAATGTTGAATGAGAAGATTTTAAATGAGAAGATTTTAAATGAGAAGATTTTAAATGAGAAGATTTTAAATGAGAAGATTTTAAATGAGAAGATTTTAAAGGTGTGTAAAGGAAACATTTAAAACATATCCCTCTACAAGTCTGCAGTTCTAGAGGTGGGCTGCTGCTGTTGGCACCTCTGGTGACTCCTTTAACTCTATCGGACCGCTGGCCCGCTGTAATGGGAATTTCCTAATCTGCCGCTAAATCGCTGTCCCTCAATGTCGGGAATTATTGTAGTATGAGAAAACAATGCGACACAAACTAACATTAACTAGCCAATCATAATCCGATCTTGTGGATAGTCTTCTCAGATCTCCGTCCGATCAAATTTGTGTTGATTTACGTGAACAAATTCTGAAAATTCACAATAAATCGAGCGGCTGATGAACCAAGCCCAAGCAACAAATAATTTGTTGTTATATTCTTTATATTTGGTATATGCATACTGAAGGCTATACACAGCATCATCATCAAGTGCCTTGCCGACTGGCATGGGCGATCATGCCTCACCACAATCAGCAATCCTCAACTGTGTGTATCTGTTCCTGTGTTGACACCCCTCCATGCAATGACAAAAGGCGCTCAAAAATCTTCTCATGCTGTCTTCCTCTGTCTCTCTTTCCACAGATTTGTCCAGTGGTCACAACATCTTCCATTTTCCCTCTTCTCATAACATGATCAAAAAAATTATGACTGTCTCTTTCTGATGTTTGTGATAAGTTTTCTTCGAGCACCTGCCTCTGTCAAAAATCTCAGTTACTCTTTGTGTGAAAATTATAGAGGAATATCACTATTATCAACAAGCTATAAGATACTATCGGTGGTACTGCTGAAGGGTCTAACACCGTGCATCGAAGACAGATTGGGAGATTACCAAGCGGGTTTCCAACAGAACAGATCAATAATGGATCAGATTTTCGTTTTACGGCAAATAACAAGAGTAAAATTCGGAATTTAGAAGAGATGTACAAAATGTTTTTGTGGATTTTAAAAAGGCCTATGATAGTGTTCATAGAAAAAGTTTATGGAATGCTATGAATGACTTTGGAATACCAAAGAAGATAATCACCATGACCCAACTATATATGGAAGACACTTGTAATATAGTAACACATAAAGGCAGAAAGTCAGACCCTTTTCAAATAACATCTGGTTTAAAGCAAGGTGATGCTCTGTTCCCACTTCTTTTCAACTTGGCCGTGGAGAAAATTATAAGGAAATTGAAACAAGAGTCCACTACAGGAGAAATTACAAGGATACTTCATTATGCAGATGACATTGATATCGTTGGAGAAAATGAACTAGAGACAGTAAAAACACTGACTCACTTAAAAGAAGCAGCACATTAAAGGGGATAGTTATCAATTTAGATAAGACAGAATACAAGACAATAACAAGACAGGCAAAAGATATATAAACACCACCCACGTGCAAGTCGATAATGTGAAAATTAATCAAACAGAAAAAAATAAGTACTTGGGTGCAAATTTCAACTGCTCCAACACACTGAGAGAAAAAATACAATCTAGAAATAAGGTACACTATGCCCTTCATTATCTTCTAAAGTCAAAGTCTCTATCTCGCAACACCAAAATCAAAATATATAAAACGTTGATAAGACCATTTATTCTATGTGGCTCTGAAACTTGGAGCACAACTAAAAGAGATGAAACTTTATTACAAATTTTCAAAAACAGAGTCTTACAATGAATCTTTTGACCCATCAAAGATGCAAACAGTTGGGGAATGGAGAGTGAGAAGCAACAACAAAACTCATTAATTGTTTAAATGACCACTGATCACTGGCATCATATGAGCTAATAGACTGAAATAGCTGGGGCATATTGAGAGAATGTCAGTTGACTGAGAGGTAAAAACTGTACACACAAGAGAGCTGAATGGTCGTAGACCATAGGCGAACCAAGAAGACAATGGAGAGGTAATATCCAAGTAGACCAACAAACACTGTGTCACCAACTGGAAAAAGAAGGTAAACCAAAGAGAGGAGTGGAGGCCGGTGATATCTGCAGCAATGAACTTCAAGGGCTTAGAATGCCGAAAAAGAAGAAGATGCTGAAGAAATCTGGCTAAATATTTAATTGTGCAGTTTATATTATGTCTTTGAAAGTTATACACTCACATTTTTTTAAAATTATGATTATTGTCTACCTGGACATCTGCTACAAAATCCTGAACTAAAATTTAATTAAGGATTTTAAAAGCAAGAGGATGACATCGTTACACCAGATTGTATCCCTCATGGCTCATTCTCTCTCTACAGTGTGTTCAGTATATTCAGAGAAAACACAAAATGCTATAGTTTTGGCAACATCCTCAGTCTTTGTAAAGCCTGCACTCATTAACTGAAAAATAGAGTCCAAAGCTAAACTCACAGCCATCAGAGTAGGAGGCAAATGTTTAAATATGTTGTCTTGAATTTGATTTCACTTTGCTTTTTATTCCTTCAAAGCCCAGTGAAGGTTCATATGTATGTTCTGAAAGATGACAGTTCTAATTCAGTTTCAAACATAAACCTTAAAAAGCAGTTCCTAACCCAAGACCAGTTCCTAGCCATGGTGAGTGGCAATGCACAAGGTGACCCTGGCTCCAGTATAAAAGGTGCGTATATCTGCAAGCAAGTGCCATATTTTTGCAGTCATTAGGGAGTTGAAGTAATGTTTTCCACCACAGAAAGAGAGTGACTTCCCCTCTCCTTCATGCCTCGTTATATTGCAGGGCCTGTCCTATGTTGCCGGGGGTGTCGCGCTTAGTAAGCGGCCAGCAATATGTCATATTTTACTTATGGTTGTCAGCGGCCGGTGATATCGCGTGTTCTGTATTGTGCGTTGTGAGCACTTTTAATCGCGCCAAAACCACTCGCTCCTACCCAACAGCCTTAGCCTATGTCCCATGACTGCATGCAGCCTAGGTTGCACGACTGTTTGTAGCATAAATTATTAGGCTGCCATAATGGGACATAGACTTAGGCTGTTAAGTAGATGGGTTGTGGTTTTTGGTGCCAATAAAATCACTCACATTGTGGAATACATAACACGCAATATCGCCGGCCGCTGACAACAACAACAAAAATACGACTTGTTGCTGGCCGCTTACTAAGAGTGGCACCCCCACAACATAGTACAGGCCCTGCGACATGACGAGGCATAAATGGGAAGGGAAGTCACTCTCTTCCTGAGGGCAAAAAACATAACAAGTTCCCAGTAGGGCATTCCCTTCCATACAATATCAGGTTAGGTAAGTTGCGTATCCTTTACAGGATGTTGCAGAACCAACCCTAACAGGCCCTGTCTGTTGTGTGGTTATTCTAGACAAATTTACATCCAGTAGTTTGCCATTGCTTTCTGGAACAATACCAGTTACTCACCCAAAAAAAAAAGTAGATGGGTGAAAAGCACAAGATAGATCAAGAATAAGATAGAAAGATAACATCAGAGAAATACTACATTGGTACAGTGTATTTGTGTTTGAGGTGGCCACAGGTGCAGGAAGCAGAACCTTATATTTGCGTTGACATCCAAAGCAATAAAAGAAGGAGAAGTGGGCACTTCCTTGCTGACAGTGGTTCTGAATCACACAGAGTGATAAACACCCAGTGACACAAAGTGCCACTATGCGGATGAGGATTGCAATATTTCTTTGCTTGTGTCTTTGGCTGTTGTCTAAGGGTGTGCTCAAACAGATGTTATAACCAACAATGTACCAATGTTATAAGCAAAGGAGACATCTGCATGATAACGATGTTTATTGACAATAATGCACTCACGAATATGCCCAGTCCTTGTCCCTACTCCTTTACCAAGTTTAACATTTAATCGCGCCCGTATTCAAACGTCAACACTCCGAGCATTCACATACAAGCACATGGTAGTGTTTCATCTTCCACGCTCCCATCTCTGGACAGGTGACTTCGGCCGTTTCCATCATGGTCTCTTGTCACTAACTCTGAGTAGTAGCTGTTGATTACCTGCGTAGCTGGTTCATTGCTGAAGATGATGTTCGAACTGTCGTGTTGAAGTATTCTCTTTCGTCATCAAGTATTCTTCACATTTATACGGAATCACAAACACGTCCTCTCACTCCAACTGGCAAACACATACTTTCTAATCAGATCATGGTCTGATCTTAGCCAAGTGTTGGGCTCCACGTGGCAACACGTGGTCGTTCACCTCCTTGAGAACCTTGTTTTCTCAGAGTGTCTGGCTTCTCTCTGTGTTCTGGTGACCCTCGAGTATTTCCCCCCAACCTTCTTAATCAGAGAATCCCCGTGTGAAAATATCCTAACTTAACAAGGATCATCCGTGGAGAGGTCCCGTAAACCCCGTTCAGCCGTTAGGTTATATTATGGCACCCGGCAACAGCCAGGTTGGGGCTTCAAAATAACGAAAAATTGCAACCCACAAGGGGACGACTTATATTGTAACATTGTTGAAGGCTTATATTTCACTAGGAGATAAAGGGCAGACAGGAGAGAGAAATGTTTAATTTAACAAATGTGCAAATCAACAAATAATTGTAAGCTAAACTTTACCCTACAGATGCAGCTTGGGATTACTTTGGAATAACAAAAGTGAGTCAATATTACGAGAAAACCAGGCCGTGGTTTCACAAGCCTGATGGGATAGCTATCATAGTTGTGACATGTATACTGGCTTTGTTCTTCCTAGCACTGCTCACGTTCTTCATTATCCGCTACTGTTGTTTCAGGAAAAGGTATTTATTGTTACAGTAATGAGACATTAAACAAATGTAAAGTTTCGTATGTAATCAGTCATGTTCATTTCCCCATGTGGGTCTCAGGGCCCCATTTGAGAGGGGGGAGGAATAGACCCCTGCCCCCTAACCAGCATGTTGTATAAGGTAACTAATTAGGGTTGTTTCCTTTGAGTTTGGAATACATTTACCTGAATGGCAAGAAACCAACAGTCTGCATATAATGAATAAGCCAGACCTGTAAAATGGATGAGCATGGAAAGCTCAAGTTCTGAAAGAAGAGTAAAGTCTAAAAGTGAATAAACAACCAGAACTTTTCTCTGAAGTTTACAGCTGGTGAACACTAAGAAGGGGGAGGGGGGGGGGGGGAGACAACAAAAGAAGATCTCATGTTCATTTAATTTTAGAGAGTAGTAATGTATTAACCTCTTCAGCAGAAAATTGTGAACTTGGAATATAGATGAACAGATAAGAAAGATCAAAGTTTTCTCCTCGTGAATGTAGATGAACAGATAAGAAAGATCAAAGTTTTCTCCTCGTGAATGTAAATGAACAGATCAGAAAGATCAAAGTTTTCTCCTCGTGAATGTAGATGAACAGATCAGAAAGATCACAGTTTTCTCCTCGTGAATGTAGATGAACAGATAAGAAAGATCACAGTTTTCTCCTCGTGAATGTAGATGAACAGATAAGAAAGATCAAAGTTTTCTCCTCGTGAATGTAAATGAACGAACAGATAAGAAAGATCAAAGTTTTCTCCTCATGAATGTAGATGAACAGATAAGAAAGATCAACGTTTTCTCCTCGTGAATGTGAATGAACAAACAGATAAGAAAGATCAAAGTTTTCTCCTCGTGAATGTAAATGAACGAACAGATAAGAAAGATCAAAGTTTTCTCCTCGTGAATGTAGATGAACAGATAAGAAAGATCGCAGTTTTCTCCTCGTGAATGTGAATGAACGAACAGATAAGAAAGATCGCAGTTTTCTCCTCGTGAATGTGAATGAACGAACAGATAAGAAAGATCAAAGTTTTCTCCTCGTGAATGTGAATGAACGAACAGATAAGAAAGATCAAAGTTTTCTCCTCGTGAATGTAGATGAACAGATAAGAAAGATCAAAGTTTTCTCCTCGTGAATGTGAATGAACGAACAGATAAGGAAGATCAAAGTTTTTTCCTCTGAATGTGAATGAACGAACAGATAAGAAAGATCAAAGTTTTCTCCTCGTGAATGTAGATGAACAGATAAGAAAGATCAAAGTTTTCTCCTCGTGAATGAAAATGAACAGATAAGAAAGATTAAAGTTTTCTCGTGAATGTAAATACAAACACAAACAATACACCGTAAAATGAATTGCCAAGCAGATGTCACATATCTCACCAGATGCATGCTACATAAATTACCTCGACAAATTAAATCAGATTAAATTGAGTACCGTCTCCACATGACAGTTAGCTGCAGTAAAGCCACTGCTGTTTTTCCCACCAGTCTCTTCCGCATTACGACTTTTAAACCACTGTCTGAATGCCACAAAAGCTTTTTTATTTTTATTTAACCATCCAATGTGGAAATCAGACCTTAGTTATTCCTTTTTTAAATTCATATGCATCTGCCTGAAAGGTGAGGAACCAACAGTCTGCACACAGGTTAACCACATATGTAAAATGGATGAGCACAAAAGAACTCAAGTTCTGGAACAAGACTGAAGTTCAGAAGTGGACAACAAACCAGAACTTTAGCCAGTTTACAGCGGGGGAATGTGAAGAAGACAAATTTCTAGAACCTTGAGGATTATAAAATTGTGAAATGCATTCACTAACTTCTAAGCCACAGATCCACACACACACACACAAGACATATAATGAAGTGATACAATAAACCCTTCCACCTGAATCAGACACAGACAGAAGGAACACACAGTTAGTTAATGACTCCTGTGGTGACACATCCAGTATCAACAGTTATAAGACAGAGAGTGCACTTCTGATGTATTCTGATGAAAAGAGGCAAACATAGAATCATCAAACAGTCACTGAAATGGGAAAGAGAAACCCTAAGGTGAATGTTAATGAGGAAGGCAAACATTTGCTGAACTGTATTCCATCCATGACAAGATGGAACAAGGTGAAGAAATAGATTGTGAGCCCTACGTGATACAAAATGGCACAACAGGACAATGATTGAATGGTGAAACATAAAGTGAACAATTGAACTGTGTGATTTGTACCTACTTTACTGTTTTTTTTCCTCAACTTTTCCTAAATTAATAGTTGACTTTTAATTATTCATTACTTCTGTCTTCCCATTATTCAAGCATTGATTACTTCCTACTTATCTTATTTACTATCCACAGAAAACCTGAAGCAAAGAAGAAAAAGCGCACTGTTGATGTTGTACCTGTGACAAAGATGGAATCAAAAAAGCCAGCACATACTAATCCTTTCAGCATAGCTGGAGGTAAGTTTATTACATTTGATTCAGAAATCTAAATATTTCCACTTACAATAATGTCTTTTTTTTTTTTTTTTTTGCTTCTAGCATTTTTATTTGAAGTAGTTCATCTTGCAACTGAAATGGAACATAAAAATGTGCTGTTTCATCTCTTAGTTTGAGCAAATGACCTGATCAGAAACATTTGACCATCTCTGTGTTCAAACATGATTTTTGACCATCTGTATCTTAACATGTTTTTACTTTTGACCATCTCTGTGTTAAAACTTTTTTCTTCTGATCATTTCTTTAACACTCACAACTTTTGACCATCTCTGTGCTAAAACTTTTTTCTTCTGATCATTTCTTAAACACACAACTTTTGAACATCTCTGTGTTAAAACTTTTTTCTTCTGATCATTTCTTTAACACTCACAACTTTTGAACATCTCTGTGTTAAAACTTTTTTCTTCTGATCATTTCTTTAACACTCACAACTTTTGAACATCTCTGTGTTAAAACTTTTTTCTTCTGATCATTTCTTTAACACTCACAACTTTTGAACATCTTCTCTGTGTTAAAAGTTTTTTCTTCTGATCATTTCTTTAACATTCACAACTTTTGAACATCTCTGTGTTAAAACTTTTTTCTTCTGATCATTTCTTTAACACTCACAACTTTTGAACATCTCTGTGTTAAAACTTGTAACATGTGACCATCTCTCTGTTAAACCTGGTAACCTTTGACCAGCTCTATGCTAAAACATCACATACACTAGGTTTCACTGTTTTTATAATTTCTTCTTCGTATGTCTTTAAATGCAACAGATACAGATGGACAACCTTACAGAAGAGCTTTCCCGCCAGTGTTGATCATAAACCCAGCATCACCGGTAAGCATTAGAACTATGGTTCTCAGCGTGTTTGCTTTGTGGGCATGCTTTGTGATTCCTTTCTGTTCACAGGTAAACATGTGAAGATCATCCAGTGATAGATAATGACTGACATATTTTTATCAAATGGACTTTCACATTGACAAGGTGGGTGGGGAAAAAGCATTTTGAAAGACAAATTAAATCTTCACATTTGTATTGTTCACCGGCTGTGAGCTCATAGAAATTGTGACTGTTTGTCCAATTGGACTTTGGCTTTGTGCCAGGGCTTGAGTTTTGCATTTACATCCATCTTACTGGCTTATTTGTGTGCAGTCCGTTGTTCCTTGCTGCTTGTGAAGATGCATTCCGACTTCAAAGGAAGCCTCCAGTTAGTCGACTCCTACTAAGGTTTGTTGCAGAGGCAATAGGTAAGTTCTGTTTTCCCCAAATGAGGCCCCAGAATCAAAATGGGGAATAAGCAAAAGTAAGTAAGTAAAGTAAAGGACCCTTTTCCACGCCTTTAGGTGTATAGGGCATAAGGTGCTAGACCTACATTTTTTAGACCAATCGGCACAACATGGGAGATATGGTCAGCATCATGCCAGCCACCTTTACTTCCCAGGGCTGCACCCAGTACCCACTCAAGGCCTGGTCGACCTGGGAGCCATGGCCATTTTTTTTATCTGGCTCCGCCAGGAAGTGAACCCACAACCTTCCGATCCGCATGCGAGTGTCTAGCTGCTCTGCCACAGCGACTTCCTAAATGGGGAATAGGGGGAATATAATTGCTATATTGTTTTCCACCAGTATGGCTCTCTCATTATGAGATACTCCAGTTTTTCCTTTCTCCTGATGTGCTCAAGGATGTGAATTTAGCTTCAGTGTATGGGGTAGACGGGTTGGGGTTAGGGCCAGTTGTTATAGGGTCGTTAAAAGTGCCCACATTCTGTAATAAAGAGCATGCATGGTCATTGGTAAGAGTATTGGCGCAGTACAGCATTGCAGCAAAGTTAGACACACCTGCCACTTAAACTTGAGCGTCTAAAAGGTTACAAAGCATGAATGAACGTCCAATCAGAGTGTACTGACCCGACTTCATCACTAAGAGATAAGCCCGAGTTTGTTACATATTCCGTTTCTTGAGAATCGCTTAATTACACTTTGGGGACTTTAACACCCTCCGGACTGAATGGCCAACAGTTTCATTTAAACTCCTAGGGGTTTTAACTGCCCTCACAGCATTATCTCTAACCCCCTAGTTATTGCCCCTGGTACTCCACAGGGGGTATTCATTCCCCCAGCCCACGTGTGTAGGCAGTCTGCTGAGTAACCACCGACCCGGCTGCTTCGAGATACCAGCTAAGTGATTTTGTGTATTTGTGTAGTATTGTTTGATTTGTATGTGTTGATGAAGGCTCCATAGCCGCAACGTTCACGTTTTATTTGTATTTGTTATATTGTGAAGCTTTTCGTTCGGTTTTATATCTTTTCTTGATATTCTGTTTAGAGTTATCTGATTTGCTTTTCTCATTAAAAGTAGATCTACACAGTTGCCTTTGACTTTTCATAATGACTCAGTTAACAAACATAACAATTTTTGTTCAGGAACTCCACAGAAATGGATTGGTATCTCCCGCTAACCTGAACAGATCTGCAAACAGCCAGACAACAGCAGATGACGGTTCCATGTGGT